GGCTCAGGTGCTGGCATCCCGCGCGGCCCCGCCTCTGCTGCGGGCCGGGAGCCAGGCGAGGTGCTTGCTGCCAGGTAGGAAAAGATCCAGGGCTCACTCATAACCCAGGTCACGATCCGGGGTCGCCCCCAGCACCTCTCCGCCGGGTGCATCAACCTGAAAAAGCCCCTTCTTCCTGGAAACCCTCTTTCTCCAGCGTTTCAACGGGGAAACTGATCAGCTGACTCCAGCCCCAGTCCTGCGAGGGGCGGGCAACCTTTGACCTTTCTCCGAAGGGCCTGGTCACCTGGATTATAAAGGACTTCGGAGACAGCCATCCAGTGTCTGTTGATCTGTATTTCTTGATGTTCTGTCTTCCATTAGCTAAGAGCTGTTAACTTTTGGTTTGAAAAAAACCAGACAAGTCCAGGGGCTCTGGACCGAGAAAAGGCCTATGGGTTGGTAGCCTTAGGAGAGTAGTTTTCAACAGAAGGTGGGTGTGCATCCTGTTGCAAAGTGTTCCAGAGTGGGTGAGGGATGGGGACGTGGAGGTGGTGAGGGCACTGGTAGACCTCCTCAGCCGTTTGGTGATGAAGAGGAGGAATGAGAAGATGGTAATTTGAGTGTGGAGGAGAGTCGTGGCTTTTTTTTTTTTTTTTTTTTAATTTTTAAAGAAAGGAAAATAACACCTTGAAGATCCTAGAAAATCAAGGAGAGATGAGGATGAATGGGATTCAGGGCCCAGATTGAGAAATTGGGATTCAGAAGAGGATGCGGAAAGCTATTCCGGAGACCCAGGTGGGGAGTGCTGGAAGGTCTCTCTTGCGGGAGGAGATAATGCTTGATTGGATATAGTTCAGAAGTTTTTGGAATTTTGTCTTCTAGAGCAGGTTTGTTCTTTATGGAAATTGTAAACCCCATGAAACTACAATAACTTTCGTCTACCTATAGCTTTGATCGGATTGAAAACATACGTTGTGAAGAAGTACTGACCTGAATTGAACTGTCTTGACTACATAATCTAAGGGGAAGTGGGTAGAGAGGGCAATAAAATCAGCTCTGTGATTATAGTTTATATGCCACTTAATATAATAAGTATTTAGTATCTACTTTAAGCCGAGCTAATAGTAATGCCTGCCTTTTCCAGAAACGCTTGCACATGTTTTGGGAACTAACCTTCTCTTTGAAGATCTTTTATTCAGTGGAAACATCCAAAGCAAGTCAGTGATGGTTTTCTGTCCTTTGTTTTAAGCCATCAATGAACAGTGGTTTCTAAAACCTGGCTGCATGTCTCAGAGTTACCTAGGTTCTTGTTAAAAATATACTTTTTTTTTTTTTTTTTGAGACGGAGTCTGGCTCTGTGGCCCAGGCTGGAGTGCAGTGGCACGATTTCAGCTGGCTGCAACCTACACCTCCCAGGTTCAAGCCATTCTCCCACCTCAGCCTCCCAAGTAGCTGGGACTACAGGCCCAGGCCACTACTCCCAGTTAATTTTTATGTTTTTAGTAGGTGGGGTTGCACCATGATGGCCAGGCTGGTCTGGAACTCCTGACCCCAAGTGATCCGTTTGCCTCGGCCTCCCAAAGTGCTGGGATTACAGGTGTGAGCCACGGGTCCAGGCAAAAATATCAGTTTCTTGACCCCACTTTGAGGCCTTTGAAATAAAAATCTCTGGGGCTGGAGCCTGGGAACAGGCATTTCAAACAGAGACCACAGGGTTCTCTGGCACTGAAGATAACTAACAGCCTCTGAAGTTTTTCTTTGAGATTGGGGCTTTTTGGCCTATTTAGAACAGGTTTTCTTAAAGGTTATGTGAATGAATTGTCAAACTTATGTAACTAAAAGTTAGAATTCCTGTCTGTGATGTTATCTTTAAATTTTAATGTACAGTCATCCCCCTTATTCTTGGGGGATATGTTGCAAGACTGACAGTGGATGCCTGAAACCACAGATAGTGCCAAACCTTATATACACTGTTTTTTTCTCTATATACATACATATCTATAATAAAGCATAACTTATGTTAGGCACAGTAAGAGATGAATAATATCTAATAATAGAACAGTTATTATAATATACTGTGATAAAAGTTATATGAATGTCAGCTGTTTCTCCAAATATCTTACTGTATTTTATTGCGGTTAACTGAAACCGCAGAAAGTGAAACCAAGGACTACTGTATTTTAAAGGAAAACTAGGTAGTCATTTTATCAGAAAACAACATTATTTCTGTTGATGAAAACTCCATTTTAGAAAAATTAGAAGATACAGAAGAAACAAAAGTTTTTCCCTAATCCTACAATTAAGAGATGACCACCAGTGACTCTGTCATTTTGTATGTAAAAGGTATGCACATACATATGTATTGCATAATTGGTAGTATATTTTATATACTTTTTCTTTTAGAGACAGGTTCTCACTCTGATGCCCAGGCTGGAGTGCAGTGGCATGATCTTGGCTCACTGCAGTCTCCGTGTCCCCAGTTCAGGTGATCCTCCTTCCTCAGCCTCCCAAGTTGCTGGAACTACAGGCATGCGCCACCATGCCCAGCTAATTTTTGTACTTTTAGTAGCGAAGGGGTTTCAACATGTTGGCCAGGTTGGTCTCGAACTCCTGGCCTCAAGTGATCCACCCGCCTCTGCCTTCCAAAGTGCTGGGATTACAGGCATGAGTCATCACACCCAGCCTATATTTTATATACATCTTTATATCTTTTTTCTACTTAGCTATTATGAGCACTTTTCCATGTAGTTATTGTAAACATTTTAATGGAAGCATATATGCCATCATATGGATGTATTATAATTAATTAAATCAGATTGCTATTGTTAATATTTAGACTCTTAAATTTTTGGTTATTTTAGCAATGTTGGTTTCAATATCGTGGTATACCTCTCTGATTGTTTTCTTAGAATACATTTCTAAATGATGGAATCAAAAACCTTTCAAATGCATTTTTAAAATCTCATTTTGACATATCTTCTTTACTGCTTTTCCTAACCAGAGGGAAAATTAACATATCTGAAAGATCTATTGCATTCCAGGTCCATTTTCTTATATCAGTGGTTCTCAAACCTTAATGCAGCTAAGAATCATTTGGGGAGCTTGTTAAAATTTCATTTTTCTGAGTCCCAGAGGCTGTTGTTCTGACCCGTTGGCTTTAGAGTGGGGCCCAGGAATCTACAGTTTTAACACATTCCCTTATGTATTTGATAAAGGCACTCTTGGAACCAGACGTTGAGAAATGCTTTTTAAATAAATGGCCAAACAGACTCAAAACATTTAGGTTACTTGTCAAAAGCCATTCATGCATCTGATAACAAGAATTTGAACTCAGCTCTATGTGACTTCACAGCCTGTTATACCCATGATCTCAGAGCTTTTTAAACCTTTTTAAGAAGGTTTAGGGTGAGGTGCCCCTAATGACTGCAGAAAGTAAACTCCTACTGACTCCACTGTTGATTTTTTAGGGACAGCTGAAAGTAACATATAAGTACATGATGAACTTCTATTGAAACCTTCCATCAGAAATTCTGGTGAATTCTGTATTATGTTGCATAACATATACTACATAAAATAACTTTGGTCGTTTGGGTGTTGCAGGACCACCTCGCTTCAAGTGTGGATTTCCACGGCTCTTGCTCAGAGGCGGGTACGCTGTGTTCCAGTGTGCCATGGAACTCACACAGTGGCACTTTGTGGCTTCATGAAGGAAGAGGCGGGCCACGCAACACTTCCTCCCCAAGCCAAGGAGAAGTAGCACTTTTAGAGGCAGAGGAGCGGCAGTGGGCGTGACCAAAAGTGTCATTTATTAAAGGTGAGGACCCTACCCTTAGAAAAGTGTTGATGTTAGTGAACTGAAGGGAGCTAGTGTCGGGGTGAGCCTTTTTAGTTTTTAAAATCCTCCTCAGATGGAATTTTGCACTCATTTGATTAATCTTTATTTCCCACTTTATGTTTCATTCCTTTTAGCAGTAGCCTGGAATTATGATGTGTCCTTATATATTTCAACTAGTATATCCTAGTCCATCATTTATTACTAAATTGAGTACCTGCTGTGTGTCAGGTTGGTTTGAGGCACTAGAAATACAAAAACAATGATTCTCCTTGAGAAGTAAGATAATTTACTAGCATTTGTTGACTTGGGTTATACCTAGTCTCTGACTCTTTATTTTTATGTTTAGTTAACTTTAGACTTACAGAAAAGTTGTAAAAATGGTACTGAGAGTTCACCTAGCTTCCCCTAATATTAACCCACTACATAACCATACTACATTGATCAATACTATTAACTAAACTACAAACTTTATTTAAAGTTCATCAATTTTCCTACTCTCTCTTTTTTTTTTTTTTCTGTTCCCACTGTATTTTATCAAGGATCCTGCATTTTATTTAGTTTTTCTTTCTCCTTAGTCTCCTCCAATCTGAAATAGTTCCTCAGTTTTTCCTTGTCTTTCATGATTTTGATTCTTTCGAAGAGTACCAGTTAGGTATGTTGTGGAATGAACTTGTGGTGAGCGATTGGGCTTCTCCACTACAAAGTTACTGTCTTTCCCTTTGTAGTTAAGAATTACCTTGGGAGACATACTTTGAGACTATACTGTTTATCCTCAGATTTTTGCCTATTAGTTTAGCATCCATTGGTGAACCTTGTCTGCAATGGTTATTAAGTGGTGTTTGCCGAGGGTGACTTTTTTTCCATCTCTCAATTTCTTACTAGTTTTAATTTACTGTAAGAAAAGAGCCGCCCCTTCTATTCATTTATTTGTTTGATCATTTTTATCAGTATAGACTAGTGGATATTCACTTTATCCTATGGGTTAAAATACAGTGCCATCTTTTTTTTTTTTCTTTTTCTTTTTAATTGCTCAAATGCTTGTAGGTTGGGCCATTAGGAGCTTAATCTTTGGGTTTAAATGACTGTACATGTAAATGGCTGTCATCATTTTTATCCCATTCCTTATCCTGCCCTGGGAACCACTGCCCCTTTAGAATCTGGCCAGTGATCTTTCAGAAGCCTCCTAAAGGAGTTGTAATTGGGATAATGAATACCAAGGCCTAAGGAAGGTGGGGCAATGCATGTGTAAAAGGTAAACTCCTAGGAACTCTGCAGGAGTCAAAAGAGTAGCAAAATAATCAGTCTTTCTTCTGGTGTTGCCCCACGGAGCCCCAAGGCATCAGGATCATGTGTGTGGGATAACATCAAGCCCACTCACATGCCCTGTGTCTGCAAAATTACCTGATAGGTTCAGAGACATTGCAATGCTGATTTTGGTGCTATTAGCTGCCGAATGAACACACCCTACCTCCTTGGTGCAAATGCTTAGTAAATATTTATAGAGTGATACATGGTGTCCTCCCCACCCACTTTGGTGAAGTAAAGATGTGTGTGGTTAGAGATTCTCCAAGAATGATACTTAGCACTTACGTTGCCCTTCCTTTTGTTATAGCTTATCTTCCTTGCCAGATTTTAAAAACTATTATGGGAAATTTCAAGCATACACAAAAGTAGAAAGAAAATGGACTCTCAGGTACCTATCACCTATCTTCAAGACTTCTCAGTATTTTATCCATCTTGTTTCATCTGTTCTCCCACTTTGGGATGGAGTCGTTCTCATATTTGACAGGAAATTGCAGACATTGAGATCTAGAAAAAGATAGAAATAAACTCTGAGTACAAAGACTGGGCTTTCATTCTCTTTATATCATATCCCCTTTGCTTGAAAATAGCAGGTACTCAGAAAAGACTGGTTGAATCGAGTGGAAGAAAACCAAATATGAGAACATGATCATTTTTAACTACAGGACAGACTTCTAGAAAGGGAAAGAGTGGTAAATCTTGCCCTAAATAACTTCTTTCATGTTGCCTGAATTTGTTCTTGGTAGTCATGATGATTCCCTTGCCGCTTCAAGACAGCCATGACTGAAAAAGAAAACTCTGAGACTCTTGTGACAATTAAAGGTCTCTCAATTATTTAAACGTTAGTGTAAATAAATCCAATATGATGGCACTTTCCCAAACACCAATCGGGAGTCACTTGCCCTAAAAATAACTTTCTTTAAAACGTCATTATGTTTTTCTGATTATAAAAATATTACATACTCATTAAAAGAAAGAATGGAAATTACAGAGTTAGAAAGTAAAAATCATCTCATTAATTCCAGAGATAACATTATCTTGGGCAATATTCTGATAACATCTGAACATGAATCACATTGGCAATTAGAGCCAATAAATATGTGTGTTCCTGGCCAGGCACAGTGACTCACACCTGTAATCCCAGCACTTTGGGAGGCTGAGGTGGGTGGATCATTTGGGGTCAGGAGTTTGAGATCAGCCTGGCCAACATGGTGAAACCCTGTCTCTACTAAAAATAAAAAAAAAATTAGCTGGGTATGGTGGCGCAAGCCTGTAATCCCAGCTACTTGGGAGGCTGAGGCAGGAGAATCTCTTCAACCTGGGAGGTGGAGGTTGCAGTGAGCTAAGATCACACCAGTGCACTCCAGCCAGGCAGCAAGAGGTAGACTCCATCTCAAAAAAGAAAAAAAAAAAAGCTTGTGTTCTGGAAATGTACCAGATATGCCAGTGTACTTGGGTGCATCATCTCATTACATTCTTAGAGCAACTTTGTGAGATAAGTATTTTTCATCATTTTGTTGCTGGGACACACGCTGAGAGGGGTTGCCTCCAGTCACTTGGCTGGTCTCTCTTGAAACATAGATGGACAGACAGATGACAGACCCTTCACACTTCAGATGTTTACTCACAGGAGCTAAGGAAATCTTACCCTTGAACTTACTTATGCTGGCTCTCTGTACAGTTTTTGGGAGAGCACTTAGACTTAGAAAGATAGGTAAGTAATTATTTTTAACTGGGTCAGATGTTGTCTCAAAAGCAGGATTAGTAATAAAGGCCTAACTAATACTTAAGTAATGGTTAATAATGGCTCCTTGCTTTTTTTTTTTTTTTGAGACAGTGTCTCGCTCCGTCGCCCAGGCTGGAGTGCAGTGGCGCGATCTCGGCTCACTGCAAGCTCCGCCTCCCGGGTTCATGCCATTCTTCTGCCTCAGCCTCCCGAGTAGCTGGGACTACAGGCGCCCACCACCAGGCCGGCTACTTTTTTATATTTTTAGTAGAGATGGGGTTTCACTATATTAGCCAGGATAGTCTCGATCTCCAGACCTCGTGATCCGCCTATCTCGGCCTCCCAAAGTGCTGGGATTACAGGCGTGAGCCACCGCGCCCGGCCAGGCTCCTTGCTTTTAGAATAAATGTCTTACCTTTGAACAGAGTCCATAAGCTACAGTTGAGCAATATTAGTTTATGAATATTCACAGCTATTTAGTTCTTGGGTAGGTGTTTCTGTTTTTATTTTTTTAAATTACAGTCATCCCTCAGTATGTGGAAGGGATTGGCTTCAGGACCCTTGCATCTACCCACATTCATGCGTGCCCAAGTACTGTAGTGAGCCCTGAGGAACCCACATATTGGAAAAGTTGGCCCTCTGTATACACAGGTTTTGCATCCCGGGAATATTGTATTTTTGGTCCGCATTTGTTTGAAAAATATCTGAGTGTAAGTGGAGCCGTGCAGTTCAGACCTGTGTTGTTCAAGGTTCAGCTGTATTTTTTAGGACAGTTTTAGATTCTCAACAAAACTGAGCAGAAAGTACAGATATTTCCCATGTATCCCCTGCCTTGTGCAGGTTTTAAAATCTCGTACCCGTCTGTAGAATGAGGGAGGTCGATGTGTGTTCTTTAAGATCTTTTCTGATTTCAACACTGCAGTAATTTTAGGGTCATAACCTCCTTCCACTCTGCGAGTCTCTCTTCCAGGGGACTCTCCCTCTGAAAATAGTTCTTAGAAAAGCAATGCTTCCAGGGCTGGGTGCAATGGCTTATGCCTGTAATCCCAGCACTTTGGGAGGCCAAGGTAGAGGGATCACTTGAGGCCAGGAGTTCAAGACCAGCCTGGTCAACATGGTGAAACCTCAGCTCTACTAAAAATACAAAAATTAGCCAGGCATAGTGGTGCACACCTGTAATCCCAGCTGCTTGGGAGGCTGAGGCACTAGAATTGCTTGAACCCAGGAGGTGGAGGTTGCAGTGAGCTGGGATTGCGCCTCGGCACTCCAGCCTGGGCAACAGAGTGAGGCCCTGTCTCAAAAAATAAAAATAAAAATAAAAAATAAAGAAAAGCAATGTTCCCAGTCTGAATTTTCTAAGATTGAGATCTTTATTTTAAAAATTGCCAATCGTAGCATTTAAGCCTCCTACAATTAAGTCTGCAAGAGGTTGTCTGATTGGCCTCAGGAACCTGATGACTTACTGTTGGCAGGTGGGAAAAGAATAGACCTCTAGGAAGGCATTTGAACAGACAGGCCCTAGGAAAGGGAAGGTAGATGTGGGAGAGAGATAGAAGGCCCCCAAGGGAACCTGAATATTCAAGGGTTTGTGTTGGGACGACCCAGGCACCAAGGGGAGAAAAGAGGAAATATCCATGTGAAGGATGTGGAGCTGAGCACCTGGGCTGAGAGCGCATGCTACCACTTACTAGTTGTGTGGGCTTTGGCAAGGTACTTAAATCTGTCCAAACCTTCCTTTCCTTTTCTTACCTGTAAGATGAGGAGACTAGTAATTCTTACATCATATGGTTAAATGAGAATTAAATAGGTTAATACAAGTGATTTTACCCCACTGCATGGCACAGAGTAAATGCACACATAAATTGCCCTTTTTTATTAGTTGTTACTGCCTTCAGCATTGACTTCCTGTGATACCTTCACAGGACCCTGAACACAGGCCATAGTGTTTAATTGCTTCCTGGGTCAAACATTCCCCAAGAACCTAACCTCCCATTTTATCTATAGCATTGTGTTTAGAGAGAAATAGTTTCTAGGTTTCCTTCAAACTAACCTGAAACTAAATTTTTGGAATTGTATCCTTTAGTAAGTGTGACACTATCTTGAGAGTTTCTGAGGTGGTGGTTGTTTTTTACAGTTACTTACTGCCTCTGTATTCACCATTAAAAAAATTCACTTTGTTTTCATTGTAAGAGTATCTAAAATGATATATGTAAAATATATGTAAATATGACAATATGTGATATACAAAAATATGTATGATAATATAAAAACTATATTATTAAAAATTCTAAAAAGAAAAGAGAAAAAAACCACCCCTAGCTAATCCTATTCTCCTAATATAATTATTATTAGCTTTTGAGTATATTTCTTTCTAGACTTTCCTTAATTGTATGTCTTTAGTTGTAATCATAGCACAGATATAGGGTTTATTTTTTGTTTTTCTTTTTGTCATTTAAGATTTAATCATAAGTGTTTCCATGTGATTATTTAGCATAGAAAATATTTTGGTCTCCATTTTATTTGTGTAATTGAGAATATATTTGTCTATGGAGATTATGCCTTAGCTTTAGCATTTTCTGTGTTCTTCTGAGAGCATGTTTAGAATTTGAGGAGAGATGTGATCTGTCCACACAGAGAGGATATAGCGGATGTTGCTGGCGGCAACCCAGGGATCCTTGTCAGGTAGCCTTTACCACTTTAGTGTATTTTCTGTGGTCCAGGGTGGGCCCTCAGCTTGGTGATCTTAAAAACATGATTTTTGTCAATAATTAAGGGCATAGCCCCCTCTTTGAGGTGAATTCATATTATCCCATCTCATGCTGCTGAAGTATGAAATCAGAGTGGCAATTTGTCAGCTGACAGTGAGAAATACAGTACAGAAAGTGGTGTTTCAGTGTGTCTGCTTGTTGGCCAAGGTGGGATAACACTTTATATATTAATAAATTAAGTCATCTAAGCCCCACAATAACTTTTCTAGGTAGATACTATTTTTATCCCCATTTTACAGATAAGGAAACTGAGGCTTGGTTAAATGACTGGCCCAAGGTTATGTAGCTGTTATGTAGTAGAACTATAGTTTCTGTCTAAGTCCAGACTCCTGATCTTAAACACTATGCTGTAGTTTTGTTATTCTTATAGATAGATTGTTGACCTCCTGTTGGGGATTCTCTATGTTTCTTGACAGACTTCCCTCTGGCCCCCATTGCAATGTGCCCTGTGCCAGTGCCTCTTTGAGAATATAGCATTCATTCCCTGTTGTTGAGGACCATGTTTTTCTGGCTCTCACAAGGAAGAAGGACTTTTCCCTTTTCATTTTCTCTTTGGGTCAAAATGTGCTTCTGTAACAAGGCTTCACATTTTTAAAATCCTCCCTTAAAACTGTGCCAGGAAGGGGCAGCTGAGGCAAAGAACCATTAGGGCTGTGTCTTAGGCTGTGCCCAGCTCAGGTCTTAGGGCGTTTGCAGTCTCCCTTGTCTCCTTTGCCTATTTGTTCTGTCCAACATCTGGAAATGGCTTCCCCTCTTGGGTGACAGGCAGCCTGACCGATAACCTAGAGAGTGCTTCTGTGATATATCGGTGCTTAGAACCTCTAAAACCTCTGGTTTTTGGATCTCTAAACCCTAAGTGGGAGACCTACCATTATGGTTAGTCAAGGTCCATCAGGGATGGGTTTTCAGTTTGTGCTGGAGTGAATCATTTCAGGATAGCATTTCCATTTGAAACAACGTGTCTTTTGTGATTGTGTTTTAGATTGTTGGAGCAGAACTACTGAGCAAAAGCAGGCATTGTATCCTCAGTTGTCATCAAGTTCGCAATCAGATTGGAAAAGTTCAACTTGAAGCTTTCTTGCCTGCAGTGAAGCAGAGAGATACATATTATTCACGTAATAAAAAACATGGGCTTCAACCTGACTTTCCACCTTTCCTACAAATTACGATTACTGTTGCTTCTGACTTTGTGCCTGACGGTGGTTGGGTGGGCCACCAGTAACTACTTCGTGGGTGCCATTCAAGAGATTCCTAAAGCAAAGGAGCTTGTGGCTAATTTCCATAAGGCCCTCATTTTGGGGAAGGGAAAAACTCTGACTAATGAAGCATCCACGAAGAAAGCAGAACTTGACAACTGCCCTTCTGTATCTCCTTACCTCAGTAAGTGTTCTCTTTTTCCTTTGATTAAGTAGTATGCATTTTCTTTTATTTAAAAATAACAGGTACTTGCTTGTATCAAAACATCTCATGTACCCCATAAATATATATATCTCCTGTGTCACAAAAACTGTCAGTTCAAATAAAATAACTATGACATGTACAAGAAAGTACAAAACTCAGAAGTGTACCACTTGGTTAAGTTTCAGAAAATGAACATACTTGTCTAACTGGCATGTAAATTAAGAAATGGAATCTTGCGGGAACCATAGGAATTCCCATGCTTCTTTCAGTCACCACTCTGGCTTCAAGATTCTAACTCTACACATTAGATTTTTCCTATTTTTGAACTTTACAAATCAGAAGCATACGTTACGTACTCTTTTGTGTTTGGCTTCTGTTGCTCAACATTATTTTTGTGAGACCTATTCTTATGGTTTTGTGTGGCTATGGTTTGTCCATTTTCATTGATGTATAGTATTCCGTCATAGGAACAGACCCACTTTTATTATCCAGCCACAAAAGTCTCAGCAGCACACATTTATAGGGTCCATTGATCTAGGCTGGTGGCTCTGCCCCGTGTGCCTCCTGTTCTCCTGCTGAAACTAGTGGGCTAGCCTGGGTATGTTCTCCTCACGTCATCGGCAGAGCGCCAGAGCATGGGAGGAGAAATGCAAGCACATTCAGGCTTCACTGGGGTCACATCTGTTGTATTCCTCTGGCCAAAACTATGGAGTCAAGAGACAGACTAGGTAAGTTTTTCAATATGATCTTTAGTAGTTTATTTCTTAAATATGTTGTATATTTTGGTTCACCTTTTATGTCTTGCCTCTCAACTTATATTAAACAGTAAATTAGTCTTAAGATCAGGGTGCCAGCATGGTCAGTTTCTTGGTGAGGGCCCTCTTACTGGATATTGTCCTCACATGCCTTTCCTTGGTGTGTGTGTGCACACACATACATGCAGGGGGAAAGGGAAAGAGGGAGGGAGAGAGAAAGACAGAGATAGATAGATCCCATGCCTCTTGCTCTTTTTATAAGGGCTTTAATCCCACATGGTAGCTCCACCCTTATGATGATCTCATCTAAACCTAGTTACTTTCCAGAGGCCCCACAGTGGAGATTAGGGATTCAACATAGGAATTTTTGGGGACACAAACATTCAGTCTGTGCACCCCTTTCCTAGTTGAGTCACAGTCCTGTATCGTATTCATATTGGCGTGCTGCTTCTCTACTCACGGAAGAGCCAAAGTGTTATTCCTTTGTGTGTTCCTTCACAGATAGTACAAGTTGAGATGTAAAAATGAGTCAGTGAAATGCAAATATGGCTGATTATTCCCCTTGCTTAAAATGCTCACAGTATATTTAAACAGTAAACTCATTCATAAAGAATAGAGGGCAGTGTACTGGACTAAAGGTGATGTGGTTGGTGATGACTTAAAATGGGCCATTAGTGACCCAAGGAAGGGCAGATCTTGAGAAGATGTTGGAGTAGGGGGAGTGATAGGGAGACTGATAGAGGGTAAATGGAAGCAGATACTAGGTTAGGGCGTGTAAAAAGTTATGACAATGAGAAGGTAAGCCGGGGGACTAGTTTATATTAGACCTATTGCATGAGGCTCTTTGAGGGTGCAAGAACAGAGACACGGTCAGGTTAATGATGGGAATTGTGAACAGGCCACACAGGTGACCATCTCAACAGCTACCCCATTTTCTCTGGTAGCTCGAGAGCCCAGCATCAGCTGTAGTACTTGTCATCTGTGTAACTCCGTTCCTTACTCTTTGTTTTTAGGGCATTACTGACTGCTGTATCTTGCATGCAGACCCTTCAGGAAGGCTCTCGTAGGCCAATTATTCTCTTTGGGTGGCTTGAAGAAGTTGCTTACCTTGCCTGCTATTGGGCAGAGCCCCAAGGTGCCATTAGACACATGAGCCTGGTGTAAGCAGCCATGACCAGGGTAGGGGATGGTTACATGGAACAAGGCATAGAGACATGCACAGGAAGGGCCTATGACTCCTTTACTCAGAAGGGGATAGCTCAATTTGCAAGCATCTTGAGATTTGACAGCCTGACCAGTATACGTGGAATTTAGAAAACAACAACAGCCACAAAAAACCTGAGCTGTTTCCTCCTGTGGATGGCTTTGGGCTTCGTCTGTGTGGATTGCTTCCAGACACTGAGCAAATGCTGTGCTGGATTGGAAACGTCTGTTGTAGTGGCAAAATGGGAGAGTTGTTACAGTGCCACACATACCTGTTACAGCTGGGTTAGGGAGGGAGACTGGTTTCTACTTCTTTTTAGTGCTTTGCTTACAGGGAGCCGGGGTACTTCCAGAGTTTAGGGGAGGGGGAGGAAGAGTGCCTTGTCCAGGAGCTTGATTCTGTGGAATGCTATTGACATTTAAGAGATTTTCCCATCCTCCTGGATTTTGGAGAAGGAAAAGAGGATAGACCAAAGTTGAAGTTACTCTGTCTAGCCCTGACCTTTGCTCTTACCAGGATTCACCAGGATATTCCTTCTTACAGATGGATCATAGAGCAAGTTGAATTACCAGCCACAAGGAAGTGCTTATATTATATATCCGCCACTTGCTTTTGCAGCCAGTAACCTTAGTGACATGATGCTCTGGCTATCATCATGACTAAATGAGTCTTTAAAGTAATCATAATAAAAGCTGACATTTGTAGCGCTCACTGTGAACTGGTCAGCGTTCTTTCTATGCATATTAGCTCATGTCAACCTCAACACTTTTTGAAGTAGCTACTGTTATTGTCTGTGTTCTATGTTCATTGTAGGAGGCCAGAGCAAGCTCATTTTCAAACCAGATCTCACTTTGGAAGAGGTACAGGCAGAAAATCCCAAGGTGTCCAGAGGCCGGTATCGCCCTGAGGAATGTAAAGCTTTACAGAGGGTCGCCATCCTCATTCCCCACCGGAACAGAGAGAAACACCTGATGTACCTGCTGGAACATCTGCATCCCTTCCTGCAGAGGCAGCAGCTGGATTATGGCATCTACGTCATCCACCAGGTGAGCGTGGGGGCAGACCAGGGCCTGCCCTAGACCCTCCTCTCTCTGCCAGACTTGGCCATGTGACTCTTTGTCTATGTTGGGTAAAAGGAACATCAGACTATCATCAAAAAAGAGTTCTCTTACCTCATTTATCCTTGAAAGGAGTAGAGGAAATTATTGTCTCAGAGCATGGAGTTATGGGTTCAAGTTCTGGGAAATTTTACTACCCTTAAAGGAACCTCTGGAGGAAGCCTGTTTTGTGAACCCTTCTATGTTAGCCAATGACTGCCTTCAGATTTTCCCGGAGGCTTCCTGGCCCCTTCTGTTTCTTTCTGTGCGTGACATGCACTACATGATGAGATTCTGGAATTGTCTTGTCATTATCGACCATAGCTACTCAATGGGGATCTAGACAGAGGATTTGAAAGAATATTCTGTATCAGTAGCTATGGCTGCCACCACATTTCTGCCCCGAACTTTGCCACTATTCATTATGTGAAACATGTTATGTTTGATTTTCACTTTCTGGATTCACTTACTTGGCTTCCAGAAGCATGATTTGGTAGGAGCACAGCATAATCATCGGCTGCTTTTGAAGAGCTTACCTCTGAGGTCAGTGGAGTGGGTGATTAAAGATACCTCTATTTGGCATTAAAGTTTATTGAAAAAAAACTAAGACATCAGTTTAAACATCAGTGTCTAAACTTTTCACAATTATCCTTGGCCATCCAAATAATTCCCCCTCAACTTCTTACAAATTCTAAGAATGTCAGCAAAATCATGACTACTGTTAGAACTGGTCATATTTCTTTTAGGTAAAACTTTGGACAACTCAGAGGACCAGCTCTTCAGTATAGACTTGGTGATAAACTGGGGCTCTTGAAAATCAGTGTGCTTATATAGCACATCTATGTCTGTATTTTAGTACTTGGAACAGAATGTTACTATTATATTGTTTTATAGCTATTTTTGTTTTTAAGGTTGTTGGTCATAGGTATGATTTATTTGATTCTGAGTTTTTGCTCAGGACAGTAACCCACAAGGTATAGTACTATTTTTATGAATCGAAAAACGTGTCTGCTTTGGGCCCGGCCCAGTGGCTCATGCCTGTAATCTCAGCACTTTGGGAGGCTGAGGTGGGTGGATCACTTGAGGTTAGGAGTTCGAGACCAGTCTGGCCAGCATGGTGAAACCCTGTCTCTACTAAAAATACGAAGAAAAAAAAATAATTAGCTGGGTGTGGTGGCACATACCTGTAGTCCCAGCTACCCGGGGAGGCTGAGGCAGGAGAATCACTTGAAGCCAGGAGGTGAAGGCTGCAGTGAGCTAAGATCATACCACTGCACTCCAGCCTGGGCAACAGAGCAAGATTCCATCTCAAATTAAAAATGAAAGAGAAAGAGAAAAATATGTCTGCTTTGTATTATTCTTATCAGGAAAACATTGTGGTAACTTCTGAGAAATACTTGTACTTTTATGATAAACCACTTAACTGGAATTCATTCTGATGGAACTTGAACGAAGCAGCCATGAAAAAATTATTTAATTTTTTATTACAGCTTCAATCATATCACAGGTCAAACTGTGTTCTTTTATTACCCAGTGACAAATCTCTCTCCATAAGGCCACTGGGAGGATTAGCCTCTACCAGTAGCATTATAACAGGATTCTCTTACAGGGATTTCTAAGAAACTTTAAAGTAGCTTAGAAATGTTAGCAATAACCTTCTCTTTTTATAGGTCGAGATTTCTTGATCCTTTCTGGCAGGCTGTTAACTAAGTCTCTTAGAAGCTTAGTGTAAATTCATAACAGAGGGTAAGATTGGGATTACCTGGGGTTGAACTGTGAATCACTAATACTAATTGACATGACTAGTATAGAAGAAAGGTTTTGTAGTTTTATACAGAATACATAAAGGTATTTGTAAAATTTTAAGTGAAAATTATTTTTGTTAACTGTGGTAAGAATACTTAACATGAGATCTGTACTCTTAATACCTTTTAAGTGTACAATACATTATTATTGATTATTTGAGTTATTTGTATTTTAAAACTGCGTTTAAAAAATTTTACATTGTGGTAAAACACACAATGTAAAATTTACCATCTTAACCTTTTTTTTTTAACTTTTATTTATTTTTACTGTCTTAACCATTATTGAGTGTACAGTTTAGTAATGTTAAGAATATTTACATGCAATGTATCTATGCATAATTATGCAATATATTGGTTGCATAAATACATGCAGTGTATTTATGAAATCAATCTCCAGAACTTAGTCTTGCAAAACTGGAACTTTCTATCATTACACAACAGCTCTTCAGATTTCAAGGAATGTTTCTAAGTTCTGGAATATAAGTATGTGTGAAGCACAAAGAAAAAATCAAATGGTCTTTTATTGCCATTGCATCTTCTCTGTCAGATCTTTATGTCACAAGTATAGTCTTGTGCGTTAACAAGAATAATACCACCTCCTGAATCCTAACTAAGAGGGGAACAATATGAAACTTTATCTCAGGAGCTTTTCAAGTTTTAATTTTCATATCTCTAGGCTGAAGGTAAAAAGTTTAATCGAGCCAAACTCTTGAATGTGGGCTATCTAGAAGCTCTCAAGGAAGAAAATTGGGACTGCTTTATATTCCATGACGTGGACCTGGTACCTGAGAATGACTTTAACCTTTACAAGTGTGAGGAGCATCCCAAGCATCTGGTGGTTGGCAGGAACAGCACTGGGTACAGGTAAGGTGGTCTGCTGAGGGTGGCTTAGGTCGAGAAGCTCAACTATTGTGATCAAGACTGGGTGGAACAAGCATCCAGAGTGTCTTAAGAAAATGAGAAATAGGAAAAATGTTCCATGATACATACATCACTTAAAGTGCAAAACAGAAGTGAGAGAATGTAATGAGGAAAAAACCCTACAACAACTTCGGCAGAAGATCACAGAGACAAGGGAAAGCGTTGGAGAGAAATGTCCGAGCATTGCAGGTGGTGGCCAGCCTCAGCCACTGCGCCCCTGTCGGGGACTTCTGCAAGCTTTTCCACACTGACTGGAATGCAAGTAACTTATTTGTCTATTCCTGACTCCCCCTCTAGGAGGCAACAGGCTGGTGTGCCTTAGTGAGACCTCTGTTGAGATACCACTTTCCAGACTGTGGCCTCTTTCTAGAGCGTGGGGAGGGCATATCCTCTGAGTAGTCTTCTCAGGAGCCCGGACACCCAGGACAAGTCCATTTCTCTCAAAGCCACTGTGAGAAGCGCCAGATGCCATCATCTGTGTCTTCATTCCCCATCCCCTCCACCTTTAAGAAGGGCGTAGCTGCTTTTCAGCCTTATTTGATTACACCAGCTCCTATTCAAGCACAACCATGGGGAAATAGTGACCCAGAATGTTTCTCTGCAAATGAAACATTATATTCCCTCATTTGTGTGCACACTTACCTGTCAGCTTTCCCCAAGCCCTGCCGTTCATGGGTGCTCATGTCTGTGGTGCTGACTGTGCTGGAGGCCATGAGACCACTTTGAATAAGGCAGAGCACCTGCCCTCACAGGGCTCCCCGTTGAGTGTCAGTGTGGGGAGGACAGGTAGCTACAGTGGAGTTGTGTTACTTTTGCATTTCTGCAAATAAAATTATAAGCACTTGGTAAGGAGGAGAGAGAGGGACAAATGAAGAGAGGAAGAGGAAGGCAGAAGGAGAGAGAGAACTGTGAAACTATCAAATGGTGCTGGAGATTCCACCAGTATATACTCTACGTGAGTGTGAAGTGGAAAGTGGGTCTCTTGATACCTCATTTGTTCTGGGCTTCCATGTTGCTCCCTCACGTTGGGCAATTAAAGAGAATTCTTAAGTAACATTCATGTAAGTGACTGTTGCCTCAGGTACTGACTTTAAACCCAAGCCCTATGTAAGCTGCAGGACATAAACACCTACAACAAACTATGGTGGGTGAGGGCACAGTGCCTTTAAGAAACACCTTGAAGGGAAGGGTTTAAAGCTGTTCCCCAGGTAAGGTGGTACCTTAATCTTGTGGAATCAACAAGAGCTGCTCAGCAGAGTTCCAAGACACGCCGGAGAGCACGGTACAGTTTTGGGGGAAATGCAAGTAGTTCACTGGTACTCTAGAAGGAATGTCTGTGAGGAGAGGCAAGAACTAAAGCTAGGCAGGGGCCAGATGACGCAGGTCTTGCTTACTCTGATAGAGTTCGAATTTGCTGTGACGGGGCTGGGGAGCTGTTGACACATGTTACAGCTGGGGAAGGATGGGAGAAAGCTTGGTTCAGCTGATTTTGAATGTATTGGATGAAGCAAGGGAAGAGGGGAAAACTGAGGGGAGAGATGCTACATGTCTGAGTTAGGGTGAGGGCTGTGGATCCAGAGGGCAAGGAGAGAATCCCACGATTTTTCTCTTTGGGGAAACTTGATCTTTGGATCTAATCTTATTATCTAGGGGTTTTGTTTTCTGGTTTCTTCGAGTCACTTCTGCATTGAGGAAAACAGTGCATCATGGCTGGGCAACTTGGTTTTTTCAGAAGCATGTCACTATCTGTTCACTTTTTCCGTAGTAAGATGTCACTATTTACAACACAGAACACCTATACCTTAGACACTTGCCATAGATGATAATCTTAAACTTCTCATTGCCCAGATTTTTTTAAACACCTGGTTGCACCATTCATTTCTAAGCAATCACAGAGGCTTGCTTAAGGACAGGTTTTTTTGCTGGGTTTCTAGATTTTATCTTTCTATTAAGCCGAACCATAAGAAGGCTGAGCTCTTGGACATTCCTGCCAGGAATTGATTTTCACTCATGCTTTGGTGTCGCAGTCGTGGATTTCATCAGATGCTGCTCACTCTGAGAAACAGCGCATGTATGACTCTTGCTGTTTCTAACTTGCCATTCTAACTGGCCAGATGTTTCTTTTATAACTAGGTATCAGAAAGCCTTTGTTGAGTAACTGACAGGTTTTCTTAATATGATTCAGGTAATTGAATGTTTTGATTGAGAGGCTCTGAGCCAAATCCATGGCCCTCTTTTAGAAATTGAAAAGAATCTTATTTGCAGATCAGAGTTCTAATGTATTTCCCATCTTAATTTTCTGTTCTGATTTAAATGTTTCTAGAGTCCTGGTTTATCATTTATGATTTTCTCTGTTTTGTATGTATCATGTAAGCAGCCTCATCTTTTGTGGCTGGAGAGAGGTATGTATAAGTAATGTAGGCAGAAGTTGCCCTCCTCCTGGACTACTTGCGTTTGTTGCTCTAAGCAAAGTCCCTGTGGCAGACAAGTTCGTTTCCAGGCAGCTGGGTGTCTGCCCCGTGCTGGCAACTGTGTGCTCCCGTGCCACAGAGCTTAAGTCAGCACATGCCTCATCACTGTCACACCGGCCCCATGAGTACAGGTGCAGAAAAGGTTTTCTCCTTACACACGTGCAGAGTGAAGAAGTTAAAGTAAGTTGCCCCAAGTGTCTCAGACTCTGATGAAGCCAGAAACAAATCTTGTTTCTCACTGGCTGTGGGGTCAGTGATGAAGCTGTGGACCAGCCGGTGGCAAATTTTACTGGCAAGAACTCCTTTGTTACCTGCCTCCTTCCTACAAGGAAGTCTATTGTTATTTTATGACTACGTTTTCCCCACCCTTGGGCCTTACAGCACTTTAAAAAATAAATAAAACGGTTCCAGGGCCAATTAAATATTTATGCTTTTACAGGTAAGAAGAAAATCCAAAAGCAAAGATCAATAAACACAGAGATTGTTGCCATCTGACAGGCACCTGATAAACAGTTCTGTTTTTTTTTTTTTTTTTGAGACAGAGTCTCACTCTGTCACCCAGGCTGGAGTGCAATGGCATGATCTCAGCTCATTGGAACCTCCACCTCCCGGGTTCAAGCAATTCTTCTGCCTCAGCCTCCCGAGTAGCTGGTACTATAGGCACGTGCCACCATGCCCAGCTAATAATTTGTATTTTTAGTGGAGACAGGGTTTTGCGGTGTTAGCCAGGATGGTCTCGATCTCCTGACCTCTTGATCCACCCGCTTCAGCCTCCCACAGTGCTGGGATTACAGGCGTGGAGAAACAATTCTTTAACCCTTCTTGCTGACTTGCCTTCTTCTGTCCCTCCCCACTCCAGCTCACCCCTCTCCAAGTGGTCCTCGGGCAGCCTGTGCCTTTCTCCCTCCTGTGCTTTGCCTCACAGAGTTATGGTCACCAGGAAATCCCCTATTTTTCTGCCTATTTGAATCCTTCCAGGTGCCCTCCTCTTGATGTAGTGACACCTCTCTCCTCAGAACCCTGATAATGTTCATCTCTCTTGTTAGGTTATAAACTCTGAGGGCAGGGCTTCCACATTCCCGTGTTTAGCCAGCCGTCTTGCATGGGGTGGATATTGGTTGTGATAAGCTATCACATCATCGCCCTGGTTCTCATGCTGATTGCTTGTTGGTATCAGCAGGTTATGCCTGCCTTATCACCATGTCCTGTTCAGGCAGCTAAGAATCCCTCCCTTCTATAAAATGCATTCTGATAACCATGGTAATGAGACACTCCTAGTAGATGTCTTGGTCAGTGATGTTTACCTTCTAAGCACTTTATTTCCTTTTTTTTTTTTTTTTATTATAGGCTGCAAAAATATAGTTTCCCAGAATTTTAAGTTGGGGGCATATAAGTAAATCTGTTTCTCTTATGGGTTAAACAGAGTCCCCAGTCTTTTCTCAGAACATAGAAAGAAACAACTGAACTACAAATTAGCTTTTGGGATGCCACTTGTTCGATGGCCAGTGTCTACATGTTTATTGATCTTTCTTTTCGGTTTTTCTTTTTATCTAGAAAATCATAAATATTTTATCGGTCCTGGAACAGTTTGACCTGAAGTTAAAGTTAAAAATTCTCTAGATATTCACATCTTTTTATTTAGTAACATCCAAGTTGTTAAGCTACCTTAACCTGCATTTCTGGATTGTTGAAATGTTATATTTAAGGGATACCTTTATTTCTGAGGTTTACAAATTCGTTCACTGATAATAAGAGTCCTATATAACTGGGAGGCCGGGAGGTGCTCTCTTACTTTTACCTCCTGATCTTTATCCTCTTGCCTCTTTTCTTTTCGGTATTCCTAGGGTTCCACAGAGCTGAGCCCCTTGGGTCTACCCTTTGTACTCTTCTCACCAACTAGATTGTTGGAGATTTCTCGACCTGTGCCTTCAGGTACTACATGATAACAGCTTATTTCCAAAACCATATCTGTAGTCACCCCTCTCTTGTGACCTTGGACCCTGTATCCTTTTGCCTACTGGCAAAGCCCCAGGTGTATCTAAAATTCACCTTATCTGAAGCATGATTCACTGTCCTTCCTCTCAAAACCTAGTTCTTGTTCTGTACAGCCTATTTTCATGAAAAGTACTACCTAGACTCTATCTGGTTGACAGGCCAGAATCTTCAGGGGGGTTGACATATGTTGAGTTATCCAGGGAACAGACTCTGAGCTGGAGATGCATGCTGAGAAGTGGAGATTTGCTTACAGAGTGTGTGCATGCAGCGTGTGTGCAGGAGCTGTCTCCTGCCTTCAACCCTCCCTTGCAAAAGTGAAAGTGAAAAAAAAAGGTATATTCATCATGACACACATTCATGCAGAACCCGGATGCAGCCTCAGAATCCTTCTAAACCCAGTGCCCTTGGCAACTGTTACCATTCCTTGGATTGGCACATGAGATGAATTCTGTTATCAATATCTGACGGTGCGGTTCACATTGACAGGTATCTCTGTAGGCCTCTACACACAACCACCACCACTAACAGCCGGGTGGCACTTTGCTCAGTGAGCAGAGGTGAACGTTTGTCTAGATAGAGGGAAAAAGACAAGACAGGGAAGGCCAGGAGCATTGTGAGGTGGGTGTCAAGCAGGAGAAGCAGGAGTGGGTGGCTGGAAGTACATGGTCTCCCAGGTGTTCCTAGAATGCCAGCCCTGAAATCAGAGACTTGTGGTGCTAATATTCTTACCATTTCTCTCATCTCTTTTGCTCCAGGTTACGTTACAGTGGATATTTTGGGGGTGTTACTGCCCTAAGCAGAGAGCAGTTTTTCAAGGTGAATGGATTCTCTAACAACTACTGGGGATGGGGAGGCGAAGACGATGACCTCAGACTCAGGTGAACAACAGAGAAAGGTCCCCTTCACGGGGCTCTGCGATCTGGAGATCTGTGGCTCTGGAGACCTGCATTTATATTTATTCCTTTAGATACCAGTCCAGCAGGTCACTAGGCTGCAGATTTGGGCTTGAAGGGTGCAGGGGGTGGAGGGAAGGCAGGATGGCCCACATCGTTCTGTGCCAGTGGCAGTTTACTGCTGGTCTGGGGGCATTTGGGGTCCAGAAGTGTTGGTGGAGGCCTCATAGACTTGGCAGTGGGAAAGACGTACTGAGACACCAGTGAGTGAGAAACCTCAAACTGCAGGATGTCTGCTGAACTGCAGTTTGGAGACCGGGTTGTTAAGAGCCTTATGCTTTCTGTCAGACCTCAGGGGGTCCTCACACACAGTTCCCAGTGTCCCCCGCAGGGAGTGCCAGCAGCCTCTGGCGAGCTGCACATGTTGAAGCAGACAAAGAGGTCCTCTCCTCAAGCTTTAGACAGCCCTGCACACTGTGGGGACTGCAGGTGGCCTGACCCCAGGCCTAACTCAGTTCTCTTGGACTGCTTTCTGCTCTGAGGGGCTCAAAGGGAATAAGTCTGGCCTCCACCCACAATTTCTTCCCCTGAACTTGGATTTGGGGGCCAGATAGTTATAGTTATCCCTACCTTGCAGAAATAAGTAATTATTCAAGAGCTTGGACTGGTATCTTTAGACTTGTCATCACAAGGCCCTTCTGGGTGTCAGGAGACTCCCTTCCCTCTTGCTGTTGCCTCTTGGAAAAGAAATTTCTTTTTTTTTTTTTTTTTTTTTTGAGACAGAGTCTCGTTCTGTCACCCAGGCTGGAGTGCAGTGATGTGATCTTGACTCACCTCAACCTCCACCTCCTGGGTTCAAGTGATTCTCCAGCCTCAGCCTCCCTAGTAGCTGGGACTACAGGCATGTGCTGCCGTGTCCGGCTAATTTTTTTGTGTTTTTAGTAAAGGCCAGGTTTCACCATATTGGCCAGGCTGGTCTCGAACTCCTGACCTCAGGTGATCTGCCTGCCTTGGCCTCCCAAAGTGTTGGGATTACAGGTGTGAGCCACCATGCCTGGCTGGAAAGGAAATTTCTAACCTGGGGTTCTGAATTATTAGATATGTGACTGTTAGAAATTTTTTTCTTGCCTCATGATAAAGAACCCAGGAGCTCCATGCTGGTCTGGTTCCCATGTCTAGCCTGAGAGCCTCTGGAATGTTTCTAGCAGGAGGGAGTGCATTTCCCTGACCAAGGGCTCTACAGAAATGGCTGTAGTGATGGGCAACAGCTCTTCGCAGCCCAGCCCATCAGCAGCCTATGTGGTCATGACTTAGGAACTGGACGGAGGGTACCTGCTACATTTCAGGACAACAGCAGCAAAGGCTAATGACAAACAATCCCCATTATCTTCCCCAAATCTACTTCACTGGGGTGATTAGTAGAATTTTGCCCTGATCACATGTCTTCACTGTCTTCTTTCCTGCTACGCTTCAGCTTCAAAGTAGAGGGGAGCCTCCAATTTTGCTTTAATTTGAAAAGACCATCGTGGCCATCAGAATGGTTTTTGACTAATGTGGTGGATAAACTAAGATGATTTGAATAGGAAAGTTGGTTGAGATTTACTGCTTACTTATTCGCCTGTGCAACAGGCACTACCCTTCTTTGTACTTATATAGTACATATAATACATTACAGAGTACAAGCATGTTCCATGCAGATTATATCATTTGAATCTTTGAAATCAAGTCCCTGTCACCACTGTCATTTTACAGATGAGGGAACTGAGACTTTGGAATAGTGAACTGACTTACTGAGGTTGTAAATAACAGAGTCCAGATTTGAACCTAGGATTGTAGCTTTAAAGCTTGTGACCATAAATGGCCATTCCTTTCTTTGTTAAAAGAAGGCAACTCTAAGTAAACTGGGGATCCTAACAGACTTGATTCTCCTATTCTTCAGGATGTTTTGAAATAACTATCAGTTTTTTTTTCTTTTTGAAAATGACTAAGTATAAATTAACGCATCTCCTTTGTACCCCAGGAATAAGTGTTAAATCTCATTCTTTTGTGGGCTTATCACCTGAAGTTCCACCATTATAAGAAATTGGAAATTTTAGAAGTTTCTCTTTTTTTAATACCCCAGTAGTCAAGCTGTTTGTGACTCTCTGTGTGTGTATAAATTTTCGCAAATGATGCTTTTTATTTGCCTACTGGTAGATGAATAGGATGGACTTAAAAAAAATCTCTATTATTGTTCTAGGGTTGAGCTCCATAGAATGAAAATATCCCGGCCCCTGCCTGAAGTGGGTAAATATACAATGGTCTTCCACACCAGAGACAAAGGCAATGAGGTGAACGCGGAACGGTAAGTCCTGGCTTCACCTGCCTGGCAGGCTACCCCCCTAGTGTGTTCTGTCAATAAGGACTATGTTGAATTCGATCAGATTTGAGCCAGTTCATTGTGTTAAAAGATTTGTATTAAAGAAATTTTCAAACAGACACAAAAGGAGAGAAAGTGGTGCACTGAACTCTCACGAGAGTCTACAGTTCTCAACTCATGGCCTCTCCTCTTTCCCTGTTTTTTTCTGACCCCACTGGATTTAGAAACGTGTGACAGATGTCATAGCCTTTCATGTGTAACTGTTTCAGTATCTTAAAATATAAACGGTTTTAAAAAAGGAATCACAATACCATTATCATACCTAGAATTAAATTAACAATATCTCCTTAATCTCATCAAATGTCTAGTCAGTGTTAAAAGCTTTTTTATTTTTAAAACCAGTTGGTCAGATCAGTGTCTAAACAAGGTCCACATGGCATTTGAATGATCTCTTTTAATCTGTAGGTTCCCTCTCCCCTTCTTTATGAGTTCCTTGATATTTATTTGTGGAAGAAGCCAGATTATTTGTCCAATAGAATTCCTTACATTACGGATTTTTTCAATTGCATCCTGGTAGTATAACTTAATGTGTCCTCCTGACTTCCGTTTTCTCATAAACTGGGTGTATTAGTCAGGGTTCTCTAGAGGGATAGAACTAATAGGATAGATGTATATATGAAGGGGAGTTTATTAAGGAGTATTGACTCACACCATCCCCAGGTGAAATCCACAATAGGCCTTCTGCAAGCTGAGGAACAAGGAAGCCAGTCCAAGTCCCAAAACCTCAAAAGTAGGGAAGCCGACAGGGCAGCCTTCAGTCTGTGGCCAAAGGCCCGAGAGCCCCTGGCAAACCACTGGTGTAGGTCCAAGAGTCCTAAAGCTGAAGAACTTGGAATCTGATGTTCAGGGGCAGGAAGCCCAGGAGAAAGATGAAGGCTAGAAGACTCAGCAAGTCGGCTTCTCCCACCTTCTTCTGCCTGCTTTATTTTAGCCACGCTAGCAGTTGATTAGATGGTGCCCACCCACATGGAGGGTAGATCTGCCTCTCCCAGCCCACTGACTCAAGTGTTAATCTCCTTTGGCAACACCCTCACAGATACACCCAGGAACAATACTTCGCATCCTTCAATCCAGTTAAGTTGACACTCAGTATTAACCGTCATACTGGGATTTCTCTTCATTTCTGGAGACTTGAACAGAATCTGAATACTATTTGTGGGCAAGAATTTTCATCTATGGTGTTGTGTACTTCCTCCAGTGTCACAGCAGGAGGATGTAATGTCTGGTTGTGTCATTTTGGGATATTAGGATTGATCTGTGAGTTTCGATATCGCCAGTCTAACCTATGCATTGTGAGATTCCCCATCAGTTTTTTACCTAATGACTTCAGCAGTCGTTGATGCTGGATTTCTAAATGTATTATTTAATTAGGAGTTGCAAAATTGTAATATTCCAATTCTGTTGTTCCTTCTGCATTTATTAGATTTTTCTACAAAGTACTTTCTCTTTTCATGTATTTGGGTACTCTGGGGTATAGTTTTTATAGGAAAGGCAAAATAAAGAGAAAGAGTCAAGCACTGATTAAAATTTTTTCAGACTAATGCTTGGTGTTTCCTAGCATCCTTCAGGATGTAGTTCTTGTACTTTTTGGTACTCATGTTGTCTCATCTTTGGCCAATGGGATCTTCTTCAAGCTGGGTCCTGAATCCCAGTAGTCCTCAAGAGCTTCCCTCCCTCTGCTCTGCCGTGACGAGATGTTCTAGGTTCTTCTTGTACTTTTCACGCCTTGGGAATTGGCCTATTCACCAAGGAATCCTGGCAGATAAGCCAGTTCTTAATGAGGCTTTGATTGAAGAATCTGTATTTCTTTGTTCTGATTTTTCCCCTTAAATTTTCAAACAGTATTAAGGTGCTTTTTGTGCTTTTGTTATAGTCTACATTTTAAAGCAATATTAAAGTGCTTTCAGCCTGATATTAAAGAGTCCTGTTAAAAGTTTGTTTATTTTTTTCAAGGCAGGATCTCACTCTGTTTGTTACCCAAGCTGGAGTGCAGTGGCGTGACCATGGCTCACTGCAGCCTCAACCTCCCAGGCTCAAGCAATCCTCCCAGCTCAGCCTCCCAGGTAGCTGGGACCACAGGCATGTGTCACCATGCTTGGCTAATTTTTTTTATTTTTTGTAAAGACAGGGTCCCCCTGTGTTGCCAAAGGCTGGTCTCAAACTCCTGGGCTCAAGCAATCCTCCTGCCTCAGCCTCCCAAAGTTCTAGGATTACAGCATGAGCTACCACGCCTGGCCTAAAGTTTATATTTTAAAGCATTATTAAATGTCTTTTTGCCCTTTTGATAGAGTCAACCACTCCAACAAAATAGCTATTTCTATTTTCTACGTTTTTCTAGTCATTGTCCATAGGTGTGCATTTTTCTTTTATATTAAAAAATTAATTATTGAATAGATACAAGAGTGCTCCTAAATTGTATGAAAAGTGTGAAGATTCTTGATGCCATGAGCACTGCTGGTATCCCCCACCCCCACTCTGAGTGCATGACCTGTGTGGTCCTCCCTAATCCTGTAGTCTCCCCCTTTGCATCTCCCCTATCCACCTACCCAGGTAACACCTCTCTGAATTTTCGTGATAAGTATTTGTGATAATGATAGTTATTTCTGCTGTTTCTTGGTTTTCTTGTTTTCCCATATGTTTATATCCCTAAACAAAAGATTGCTTAGTTCTGCATGTTTTTCAACTTTATGTAAATGAAATCACACTGCATTTATTCTTCTCTGACTTTATTTAGCTGAACGTGATGCATCTGATCCGCATCCATATTGTCATGGGTAACCAGCATTTATTGTTTTCACTGCTGCGCAAGTAGAACCTATTCAGTTCACTGCCTGCTTGTCTTCCCAGATTCCATGGCTGTGGCCACACTAGTGACTTCTTTAAATGCATCCTGCTCTTTTGCGTGTCTGTGCATCTTGCCCAGGGTGGTCTCTCTGCCTGGAGTGCGCTTTCCTTCACCTTCTTCACTTGTTGAATTTCTCTGTTTTAATAAACATTTAATAACCTTACTGAAATTTCCCTTCTCCCTGACGCCTCGCCAGACTTCCTCATTAGGTTAGGTTGCCCTTCATTCTTCCTCACCTACATACATTCCAAAATTTTTGGAGGCTTGTGAAGGCTATCTACCCACGTACAGACACAAACTTTCCTTATAACACAGGAAGATTCAGAGATCCCCTGAAGCTCAGCTGAGGATCAGTTAGCAGTGGATGGCACATATCCTGTTGTATCTGTGTTCCTTGCACATCCTTCTGTCCTGTAGACTGGGGGCTCACTGAGTGCAGTGACCCTTTTCATCACGGGTCCCTGGGTTCTCACATGTAGTCTGACACATGAATACATGGCTATCACGTCTGTCACCTTCAGTGGGGAAAACAAACTTTGTGATAGTATGAAACACAACAGGTTTCATACAATACAATACAATAATTTACAAAAATATGTTTGCTACATTTCGGGGCAAGGCAAAATGCAGTGGAGACATACATTAAATTCTTGTCTTATCATTCACATTTGTTCTTTTTATCTTTAGGATGAAGCTCTTACACCAAGTGTCACGAGTCTGGAGAACAGATGGGTTGAGTAGTTGTTCTTATAAATTAGTATCCGTGGAACACAATCCTTTGTATGTCAACATCACAGTGGATTTCTGGTCTGGTGCATGATCCTGGATCTTTTGGTGATGTTTGGAAGAACTGATTCTTTGGTTGCAATAATTTTGGCCTAGAGACTTCAAATAGTAGCACACATTAAGAACCTGTTTCAGCTCCTTGTTGGACTGAATTTTTCCTTTTTGTATTTTCTTAGCAGAGCTCCTGGTGATGTGGAGTATAAAACAGTTGTAACAAGACAGCTTTCTTAGTCGTTTTGATCATGAGGGTTAACTATTGTAATATGGATACTTGAAGGACTTTATATAAAACGATGACTCACAGGATAAAATGAATGCGATTTGAGGACTCTGGTTGAAGGAGATTTATTTAAATTTGAAGTGATATATTATGGGATAAAAGGCCACAGGAAATAAGACTGCTGAATGTCTGAGAGAACCAGAGTTGTTCTTGTCCAGTGTAGAAAGGTACGAAGACACAATACTGTTATTCATTTCCTGTACAATCGTCTGTGAAGTGGTTGGTCCCAGGTGAGAAGAAGGCCACAAAAGAGGGGAGAAAAGGTGACGAATCAAGATGGAGTGAACTTGGGAATGAAGAGGTAGCAGGAGGGCAGAGTGTCTCCTGCAGAGGCAGCAGCAGCTGAGCTGGTTGCAGCTGCTGATAGCCTGCAGGGGAGGCACCTGCCCAGGTATGCCTTCCAGTGATGCCCACCAGAGGACACATTATCTATTAGTTTTTAGAGTTTTTGTAAAATGATTTTGTACAAGTAGGATATGAATTAGCAGTTTACAAGTTTACATATTAACTGATAATCAGTACGTCTATCAAATACCTCTGTAGTAAAATGTGAAAAAGCTTTCAGTGTTCCTTCGTGTTTTTTTATCTTTGAGGCCTACAGATATATTCATTTCAGTATCCATAATTCTAAAGAGGTTAAAAACAGAACAAATGAAACAAAGCCCTCCACTCCCTCTGTCTCCCATCCTTCTGTCCCTCTCTCTTGTTCGTCTCATGTGTGACCTCCTTGTGGAACCAGCTCCAGTCTTAGGATAGGCCCATCTGTGTCTCACTCCCTGGGCACCTCCATGAATGCATTTTGCTTATCACGCAAGCCTTGGGGGTTCCTAATCCATGATTATTGTGTGACACCTCAACAGTTAAACTTTAACATGAATGAGTGCCAGCCAGGAAGTTTAAATAATATCTAATCCTTCCCAAGCAGGGAGAGGGAGTAGGAAGGTTTGGTGCTAAGAAAAAACAAGAGTTATCACCACCCAAATGGGGAAGGAGAATTTGAAAGGGCAATATACTTTATAGACATGACAGGTTTACCTAGGGCTGGCTTGGTTTTAGTTTAGCTTTTAACTCAGCACAGGGAGCAAAAGAGCAAAAGTGGTTTTTTTTTCTTTTCCTTTTTTTTTTTTTGGCAACAGGGTCTTGCTCTGTCACCCAGGCTGGAGTGTGGAGGTGCAGTCTCGGCTTCCTGCAGCCTCTGCTCCCCAGGCCCAAGTGATAATCCTTCCACCTCAGCCTGCCGAATAGCTGGGACCATAGGTGCTCACCACCAGTCCCAGCTATTTTTTTGTGTTTTTAGTAGAGTTGGGGTCTCACCGTGTTGCCCAGGCTTGTCTTGAACTCTAGAGCTCAAAATCAATCCGCCTGGCTAGGATGCCCAAAGTGCTGGGATTACAGGTGTGAGCCACAGTGCCCAGCCATGGTTTTTCTTTACCTAGCAGAGAAATACTCAGGGTTTTCATGTTTTTTGCTCAAACTTTGTAAAGGAGCTTCATTCTTGGGAGAGTTGCTAATGGGGCTGTAGTGTATTGAGTGAATCTCCCCCTCACTGTCCCTTCTCTTCTCTAGAACCTTTCTCTAGAGCTCTGTCCCAATTTGCTTGACTATGAGCATATTAACAGATGGTAATTGAGAGGTTGTAGGTCCCTCCCTCATCATGGTTGGGAAGGGCAATGGAAGAGAATGGTGTGTGCAAGGAATTTGAAGATCTGTATTTGAGAACTCAATTTCTTACTCAATGGAAATGGAACATAGCTAGTACCATGCAGAAACTCTCTATGTTTTTTTGACATCTGCAATTTTTCAATGTGGAAACACTGAACGATGCCTTTTACTTTTCTTCAGGTAGTTCTTTCAACCGAGATAATCTAAAAGTCCCTTAAATGACTTGTTATGAAACTTCTTGAGATGGAAGATAGATTTTTAAGACCTTGACACTGCCACTGTGGCACTTTCCCTGCACTGGAGCGTCAAAGACTGGTGACATGGGGCATGAAGCTACCTGCCCATTCACTGCTGCCTCTCTCCATGCTCTTGCCTCCCCGCTGGGCGGGGGTTAGGCTTCAATGGAACTGGCTTCCTCCAGTTCCCGCCCTATGCATTTTTTCATAGTTGCCACAAAGAGGCCTACCGTTTTGAATATTGTAGAGATAGCTGTGCCTACTATAATTTCTAAGGATTATATGGGGGCAGGCTATTTGGATATCACAACTGCCTAACACAAAGAGTGTGTTCTTTGAAGTTTTTATTGATTTTTTTTTTCCTCACCTATACTGGCATTCATTTCTATAGTGCTTTACAGTTTGTGGTATCTTTATGACACACTTTATTGATGCTGCTGACTTTTTTTTTTTTTTTTTTTTGAGACAGTCTCACTCTGTCACTGAGGCTGGAGTGCAGTGGCACAATCTCGGCTCACTGTAGCCTCCACCTGCCGGGTTCAAGTGATTCTCCTGCCTCAGCCTCTCAAGTAGCTGGGATTACAGGCATGCCTCACCATGCCCTGCTAATTTTTGTATTTTTAGTAGAGACAGAGTTTCACCATGTTGACCGGGCTGGTCTCGAACTCCTGACCTCAGGTGATCTGCCTGCCTCGGCCTCCCAAAATGCTGGGACTACAGGCGTGAGCCACTGTGCCTGGCCGATGCTTCTGGCTCTTGAGGTAAGAGGGCAGATGAGTAAGTAGAGGTCCCAGCCAGGAGAGTGACTTGCCAGGAGTCTCACAGGTAGCAAATGGCAGAGTCAGAGCCAAACTCAGGCCGTCTGACTTTCAAGACCATTACACCATATTGCCTTCTTCTTGGCTTCTCTTATACTTTGCAGTAATTTTCGTGAATGTATGTCCTTGTCGGAATTCCTGCAGAGAGTTAGTATGGTCTGGACCGTGAAAAGTGCATTCCTGTTCTCAGCTGCTCTCAGAACTTTGTCCCCAACTCCCTCCCTAGTTTTTCTGCCCTTACCCCCGTCACTTCCACTCAAGCCCCAATGGATAGGTTTCCTGGGAGCCCCAAAATGCTCTGTGAATGGACTTGAGTGAGATAAAAGACATTTTCTCCCAGATTTGAAATTCACTTTCCCCAATCCTATTCATATATGCAGTCCCTACCAAAAACCATTAACATGTTCTGCAAGATGAAGCATATTCAGGTACATTTCATAAGTTCCTTTTCACCAATCACATTCTATAACTTAAAAAAAAACCCTCTATCCTTAGTGCCTTCCATATTTTACGCTATTTCTACCATCGTTGATTTTTTTGTATATGCGTAACCATCTTATACCTGCTGAGAGGGCATGACCATTCTAAAAATATACACAAGGGAGTGGTTTAGAGGCTCCACCCTTAGGAAGTATACCTGTACAGGTAAAGGCTCCATTGTTCCATTGATAATTTTTAAGATTTAAATAAAATTATCAAACCTTGTGTGCCCATGTGTGGAGTGTGTGTGTGTGTGTGAGAGAGAGAAAGAGAGAATGAGAGAGAGATGTGGGGGCTTGGAGCAGAGGTTGGTGAAGGGTGGGACATAATAATAAACTAAGTGCTTGCTCTGTATCAGTTTCCCTGATATAACCTCCTGATTGGCATCTCTTATAGGCTGATGCACACTTTACGTATCTTACTGAATCCTCCCAGTCCTGTGGGAGGAGAGACCAGTTTTTCTGAAGCAGGCTCCAAGAAGCTAAGCGACTTGTCAGAGAGCTGGGATTTGGAGCCAAGTACTTTGACTCCAAAGTTCATGTTCTTAACCACTTCATGGTGATGGATAAATAAATATACCTACACTAGGGAGGAATAAATAAACCTTGTCTCCTTGAGGAAACTTGGAGAGTGTCAATGCCTTTCAGCCAAAACCCCCCAGGAACACATTGCAGATAAATTAATTGGGTTAGAGTTGATCAAAGGTACAAAATTTCAGTTGGAGGAATAAATTCAAGAGCTCTGTTTGGAAAAAAATTGGGATTGTGACTAGTTGCAGTCATTGCAGTGAGTGAGAACACACCATGAGGGATCCATGAAGCAACTCAGTAGAAGGAAGTTAGAACTATTACAGCATTTGGGCTTTGGTTGGGTCATTTGGGGAGGGTCCAAGAAAGGGTTAGCTCTGTTGGATATTATCAGAAAGCAGGGGCAAGTATGTGGTTGTATATTTCAGTAGGTTTTATTTGTTGGGAGGGAGACTAGCAAGAGAATAAAGCTGTAATTGGGAAGACATAGCAGTCCCTAATTTTAGCCAAGAAAGCAGGTGTTTGGTTTTTTTGTGGGTGGCACAGTGACCTTGTTTTTGTGCATAGACAAAATTATGCAGTGGTCTTGGCTTGCCTCATTTTATCATGGTCTCAGAGTGACCCTATGAGGCTGGTATTCTGTGAGATTGTTTATATCTAATGGGAGAATAGTTGAGCCTAATTGTGAGTGCCTCACCAGCTTCTGTTGCTCTGTTCTTTTTTCAAGAGGAACTCAGGGTAGAAACCTCTAGAAAGTAGGGCATGACGGTAGCATTTCTCCAAACTCCAGGATTTGGCTATTTGTGTCTTAACAATGTGGAGTGGGAGGGTGTGCTGGGGGAAGGGTTGGTTGGAGAAGGGTATGGGATCTGTGTTTCTCGGCAAGGCTGCCTTTCTCTGCAATGTTCCTGGATCCCTTCACGGGATCTGGCCACTTGAGCCTTATAATACAATAGCAAACACAATAGTCTACAGCTACCCTCCTTTGGGGTTCTTCTTTGATTCGGTCTCACTTATACAAGCTGAGAAGGAACTGGAAGAGGCATTACAGGAAATACTAGACCCAGAAGGAGAAAGGAAATTGTTCCATCAATAGAAAGGCGAAACCAGCTTAGTTTCTAATTCCTCAACCACAGCACAGGTTGTCAGTCAGATTGGTTGGGGTGGGGGTGTGAGATTGAGAGATTAGATTTTCAAGTTCACATGACTAGTATTCCTTTTCTTTATGGGTAGCCAGAAAATATCTGATCTGCTTAAAATAGAAGCAGTTCCTGTTTATTCCAGCTGATGTAGACAAAGAAAAGCTACAAGGCTGACAAGTAGGAGCAGTGGGCTTTCAAACATTAAATGACAAACTGTTTGCCTGCCAGGAGCCTGTGGAGCAATCTAGGGAGGGAAATGGCCAGCCAAGAGAGCATGATGACCCGCCTGGTGTTGCAATCAAGTAAAACTTGCGCAAATTATCCTGACACATTTTTGGTGTTAGGTAGTAATCATTCTTTGCCCACCTGATAAGCAGACCAACTGTTGAAGAAGGAAACTTCACAAGAGAGTTGTGTCTGGGCCTGTCTCATGCTCAGCAAGCCGCCAGGTCCCTAGAGCCAAGCCGCCTGGCTCCCCTTTGCCTCCCTGGTTTGCTGGGGCTGGGGCTGGGCCTGGGGCTGGGGCTGAGCCTGGGCCTGCCTGAGCATTGGCTTGGGGCCACTTCCAGTCCCTGGAGCCAGAAGGAAGAGGGGCAAGGCTGGGCCTCCAGGGAAGGTGGAGGGAGGTGGGAGCAGGAATTGGGCGGAACAGAAACTGTCCTGAGGTCAAAACAGGAGAGCCCTTAGAGGGAAG